TCTGGAGAATTTCGACCGGTTAGTTTTTATTCGGCGGTGTTTTATGTTGACTGTAAATTTATATGATGTCGGAATTTGTTTGAGCAGTAGAATAAAAGTCTTATATTGTTGTTGTGCACGTTTTGTATTAATTTGGTAATTTCTGATTTTAGGAATTTTTGTGTAAATTCCTTATATTGTCGTTATGCCGCTGGATTTTCGTACGATTTCCAATTTTCTGAAATTGATGATTTGAATGCATACGATTGTGACTATCTGATTATTGTTACTGAAAGACAAGTGAAGACTGGTTGAACCGTTGGTTGGAGATCGACTTGACCTGTACAGGATGGTGGGCCGACGGGCTTTCCTTTAAAAAGGGTTTGGTGTTATCCTCTATTGATCATTGATATAACGATTGGGAGTCATAAGGAGATTACTATGCCGACGGGCACAGAGTGACGACTCTTATTGAACCAACGGATAGATATCTACAACAACACTATGGATTTCTACAACAGCATTATGGACTATGGATTGAAAAACGCCTTTATAGCCAGCGATGTACTTGTTCAGTAAGACTATTGTATTGAAATGCATGTGTACGGTATTGACATGTTGATCTCGTGATGGATTTATTGATTTATTGATTTTGGATGGCTTTACGGACGAATTTACGGATTTATTGTTACTGTACGATTTCATTGATATTTGTATTGTGCCACTGTACATTGATTCATTGATCATTGATATTGATACTGATATGGATATCGATATTGCATTGACTTATTGATACTATGGACATGGATACTATTGATTCATTGATGCTATCGTTTCATTGATACACCGTATTGAACTGCTGCATGTAATTCATTGATTGATATGGAATAGGTTTTACTGTGTTGATTTAATTTTAATCGTTCTGACGACGTATTGATTGATTTTGACCAGAGATGATTGATTTGATTGATTTTATTAATATTATCGAGATGATGATTTTTCTTCTATTGATTTGATTGGATTCTTGCGAGAAGTATCATATTTACTGGTTTATTGAGTTTTACGGATTTCTTCCTACTATTTATTGATTCTCCTATCGCTGACTATGGATTTTATCGATTGTGCATTGACTGCCGATTTTCGTATCTGCATAGATTCATTGATCATGTGCAATTGACTGTTATGGACTCGACTGATTGACATGCATATTGTTTCCAGTACCGTGCTTTGATTTCAGTTATAGGTATTAGGTGACATGCTGGGCTTTTTGAAGCTCATTATATGTGGTTAACAATTTCAGGTCCGAGCATGGGAGCAGGAATGGAGATTGATCGAGACTGTCAGACAAATCCTTTCACTATGGATGCCTGGGGCGTCACACATGCAGTGCTGCCTAGGATGGGCAGTGAGTGTGTGAGGCTGAGGGCACTGGCCAGCGAGCTTGCGGGGTCTGGCAATAGAGACAGGCGCGACAGAGGCAAAGAACGATGTGATGAGCAGGCAGGAAAATCTGGTCCAAAATGAGTTTCTGGGTTGACCCGAACCATACCCGATATTCAAAATTGGATGAAAATCAGAACCCAAAACCGACCTGTTCTTAAAACAGGTTGACCCTAACCCGAAAATTTTTGGCAACCATAACTAGAGTTGGAATTGAGAGTATCCTAGCATTGGCGGTTTTTTTTATTCCGAACTCTTAAGAATAACTGTAAATCATGTTTCAAGAGAGTGATATCATTCCAGTGGTTGTAAACGGTTAGTAGAGAACTACATTCTCTTTTTCAATTCATGTGCTTTGCCAACTAGTTTGATACCACCACCTGTATACGAACATGGTTTTGGCGGAATTATTACGTGCAATCACCAGACATCATCCAGAGGAGGATCAGGACGTGCCACGTCACCAATACGATGTGTACAATTATTGTGTACCTCTGTGTATCAAGTTACGTGGCGAGTCTTGATTGACCTCCGAACGGTCCGATGACCACACGTAATAATCTCTAGGGGTTCTAACGGGTATATCAAGAGGCGATTGTTCATGAGCTCAGCAAAAATGTTGAACGAACGAGCACTGTCGATAACATGAAGCGTTTGTAGTGCCACAACTATCAATGGGAATGTATGTTGACGGTTTGCTTCACAAGTTCGTAGTGTAACGCCCGATAGTCAAAGTTTAGAAAATTACTTATTTTAATTTCATAATCAATCAACCAATGCTTCTGTGAATTCATCAATATAAATTTATTCTGCAAAAGAAACTAAATTTATATAGATCAAAATATAAAACTATATTAATCACTCAAATTTTATGTATGGAAACCACGAGATCGATCATTACATTCATTTTAACTTTCTAAGCTCAAGACTACAAAAGGAAAAAATTAGAAAAATATAAAATAAAATAAAACTTGAATTCATAATCTATCATCACTCCACTAGATCCTGACACATTCCTTAAAACATATAAAACTACAAAGTAAACTAAAAGTTCAATAGGTTATCAGAACTCACAACTAAAATCAATGCAAGAAATTAGAAATAATATGCATGTAATCATTCAAACACTATCAACATTAGCATATAACTGTAAAAGTATTTAACAATCAATGAAATAATTCATATCATATAACCAATAAATATTAATACAACTGTATAACTTAAAAATAGTGATCAATAACTAGTAATCATATACATGAGGGCAATTAACTATATTATTTTTGATACGTCACCTAAAATCATCTTGATCAAGCACGAATCTCAAGGCAAAATTGAATTGTATGCTTCCAAAACTAAAAAAGGGATCATCTGAACTTCAATTTCAGCAAACTTATAGTTAAACTGTCCGTCTCAAAAATATGAACTCAATGATACCAAATTCGACACAATCCAAGCTCAAATGGGTCCAAATCAAAGACTTGAAGCATTTTTGGAAGGTTCAAACTACAAATTGGATTACCAAACAGCTTCCAAACGTGACATGCTTATAGTCAAATCGAGCGGCTCGACGAGACAAATCCAATGAGCACAAGATCATCAAATTCTAATATCTTTAAGACAGTCAAATATCCATTGAACGGTGCATGATCAAGATCAGCCGTCATTCGAACCAATCCAAATTTACCCTTGATCTTCCACTTATTTACAAGCCATGTCAGTCAAGAATTCTATAAATAGAACCTCATTTCCTCATGAAAGGGAGGAAGAAGACAAGAGAGAAGAAGGAAGAGAAGAAGGAAGAGAAGGAAGAAAGCTCCAGGCTCCTAGCTCCTCCTCGACCACCGCCGGAGTACTGCCGTACCACCGCTGAAGTTTTGTCGCACCACCGCCGGACCACCAAGGGACGCCAGAGTGCTGCCGCACCACCGCCGGACCACCAAGGGACGCCGGAGTGCTGCCGCACCACCGCCAGAGTACTGCCGCACCACCGCTAGACCACCAAGGTACGCCGGAGTGCTGCCGCACCACCGCCATAGTTCTGCCGCACCACCGATGAACCACCAAGGGATGCCGAAGTGCCATTTGAAGTTGAAGTGCCCCCTGACACTGAAGTGTCATTGCCGATCCACTGCCTGACACCCGAGTGCTGCCGGACCACCACCTGATAGAGGAGTGACGTTGAACTTTTGCAAAACTATCAGTTGATATTTGTAATCTGATCTTCTTCAAGGACGAGTCAGACCATTGTACTTTCCTCAAAATTTAGTGGAATCATTTTCAAATGGGCTAGACCCCGTGGTTTTTTTCCTTTCCGGGTTTTCCATGTAAAAAATATTATGTTCTCTGTGTGAGCTGGATGTCCGTGTAACGCTAAGACGTAGAATTATAACTCTATCGCCGCGTATATTCTAGCCCACAACAATTTTTATACACATTAGTTATATAACTGTTTTTATTTAGCTCGGTTTAGAAAATATGTATATCTGTCATATTTATATGTATATTGTATAGTGTCTATGTTTTATATGTATAATTGTATATCATATAAATCATGTGATTTATATAAATCAAATATTTTTGTATTAGTTTTATCAATATTATCAAATATTTGTATCAATCATAGTTTGTATCTTATGTAAATCATGACATATCAATTATGTAATTTATAAATATGAATATGCAAGTACTTGAATATATAAGTAATGCAAACAAGAAAAGACAACAAGCTATATATAATATTTTTTATGTATCCATTCATGTAAGCTAACCCTACAGGAATAAGTCTCAATCAAATCCGTCTTATTTTCATGAATCAGTCATATTACAAGTCATTTAGATTAGATGACTTTCATTTCACGAGTCATCCCTTTCTGCTTGTCGACGTATCATGTCATATCAATCTGCCTCATTATGTCTTTTTTTTCATATTAATTAGGATAAAATCACAAATCATATTTTAAAGAAAAACTCGTTGACCCGCCCTCCTGTATAAGATAACATATCTCCAATCAAACTGAATCACCCAATAATTTCTAGACAATCTTTCTAACATACACACATTTCACAATATATACATCATAATAAACATCTTATGTCACATTCAATGTTTAGTTCACGATATCATATTAATGTACGTAAATTTTACATATAAACCAAAATTAATGAAATTCATAAAAAATGCATAAATGCTCTTTTTCGTGTGTGTGTGTGTATTGTGACGATGAAGCACTGTCTTTAGACTAGTGAAAATTCCGGTCGGCCTAGCATGCAACCCACACTAATTTACGCAAGCCAACACTTAAGGCTTTTAATGATTGCCAAGGAATTAGAATCAGAGACCTAGGCTTTGCCCAGCCAGCTCTTCACCACCCGGACAAATAGCGGTGGATAATATTATTTGAAAACAAGCAAATATTCATCGTTTTAGTTGGATATAGTTATAAAAAAAATCCATCAAAATATAGTTATTTTATTTTTAAGCTTTGACTCATTATAAATCTGGACTATATAAATATGACTTAAGATTTTTTGCATAAATAATTATGATTTTATATAAATTTACATAATTTACATCATTTATTATTGAGTACGAGTAAAGCGTCGGCGGTTTCTAGGGTTTAGTTATCAGAGCCATCTCCGTCGATCCTATTACCCAAACCAAATCAATCTCTCTTCTTCCTACCGCTTGCTGATTCTCTCTCACCGTTGCTGTTCTCTCCGTGGATATGGCGGCGGAAGTGGCAGCCCCCTCGCGCGGCCGTCAGGTGCGTTTGGAAGACGATAACATGGTGTTCGAGACGAGCCCAGGAGTAGAGGCCGTCACGAGCTTCGATCAGATGGGGATTGGCGACGATCTACTCCGCGGAATATACGCCTACGGGTTCGAGAAGCCCTCGGCAATCCAGCAGAGAGCCATCATGCCTATTGTGAGCGGCCGCGACGTTATCGCCCAGGCCCAATCCGGAACTGGAAAGACTTCCATGATCGCTCTCTCTGTTTGCCAAATGGTGGACACCTCCTCCCGAGAGTATGTGCTACATCTTTCAACTTTCTCTTGACTCTCAGTTTGGCTTCTCCTGTTACTATGATTTGTTGGCTTTTTTTTTTTAATTTCCTTGATTTTTCCCCATGAAGTTTGATTTTGTGAGCATATGAAGGCTTGGAAAGCAATTCCTTACTCTTTTGGTTGGTATGAATATGACATAATTTGTAAGCTATGTAATTTGGCCCTTATCAATGCTTTAGATGGCTTTCTTATATCACTTTGCATATGGATTCTACATTTTTATTGCTTGACGTCTTTGTTGGATTTTTCAGTTTATGAGCCCGTTCAATTGATTGTTGTATTTTCCTTTAAAACCTTCATTGATTAACTAAAAATCTGCTGTAGAGGGTGGGCATTGCCCTTATTTTTTTCAAAAAATGGAATTAATCTTGACAGTTTGGTGCTTTATAATACTTATATTTTGATTTGTTGTTTAAATTCAGAGTGCAGGCATTGATTCTGTCACCCACAAGAGAACTCGCTTCACAGACAGAAAAAGTAATGTTAGCAATTGGCGATTACATAAATGTCCAAGCTCATGCTTGTATTGGTGGGAAGAGCATAGGAGAGGATATAAGAAAACTTGAATATGGCGTTCATGTTGTCTCAGGAACACCTGGTAGAGTCTGTGACATGATAAAGAGAAGGACACTCCGCACAAGATCAATTAAATTACTTGTCCTTGTTAGTAATCTCTTCTTCTGTGTTTTTCAATGCTATAATTTATGGGATTTTAGATGACCAACTTTAACAACTTTGAACAGGATGAATCTGATGAGATGTTAAGTAGAGGATTTAAGGATCAAATATATGATGTGTACAGATATCTCCCCCCTGATCTTCAAGTATGTTTGTTACATATTTTGGTTATGATCTTCCTATTGTATGCACCCATGCTTTTTCTTTCTCTCTATATCACTATTTTCTAAGCTATTCATTTGGTAAGATATATGTTTTCCTGAAATGTTTTTTGCAATTTGTCTTAGATCACATTTTTAAAAATAATTATGCTTGTGTTCTTCTGCATGCTTTTTTTATTCCTTATTTTGATTTGCTTTACTTTTTTCTCTATTAGAACTTTCCCTATTTTGTTTTTGTGTCTTCCGTGTATAGTAAATTGTAGTGTACCCTTAGTTAGGCTTCCAAGCTCTAGATTTTTTTTTCTCAGATGATGTTATATTAATACTTGTAGTTGTTATTCTGAATAAAAAATAATTGTTAAGGTCTATAGATTATGAACTGTCATTTGTATATTGTGAAAACTATCATAGGAGTAAACGTGCTTCTACTTTATTTTCCACCTTGCCTTCTCCTACATGATTTCTTCTCATATTCTTTTATATTTCTAGCTGTTGCTACTGTCTTGTTAATAGTTGTAGATTTTTTTTACTCTGATGCATCAATTTGTTTTGTCTAAAGACATGCTCGTGATAGATAGTTGTGAAATCATCAACAAATTAGTTATTTGCTGATTAAATCTATATTATTGATTCAAATTTCAGCCCAAAATTGAATAAAAAAAGTTTTGATTTGGCTTATGGCTCGATTCATTTGCTTCTAGAAAGATTTCAATCAAAACCAAATAACGATTCGATCTTTTATCTTTAATCTCAACTGGCAACCTAAACCTTAGCATATATGTTGCATTTGAAAATAGAAATTAGCTTCACTTCTATCAAAATCTTCATCACAAGAGTTTAAATTGATAGAATCAGATGTCAGTCCTTTTAAATTTGAAAAAAAGCGCAATCCTATGGTCTTTATTAAAATGCAGGTTAGTATACTATATCCTCTGAGGAGAAAATTTCCAATAAAATTATGTGGGATCGCCAATTTCTTCTAGTCTGTATATTGTAGTTTTCTTCTAATTAATCCTTTTTTTTATAGTGTTAAACCTGCTTTCAGGGACGTGTAATGTATTATTTCCAAAAAATATGCTTTTTGTTTGCTCATTTTTTTTTCTGGCCAACTCATCTTTCCTTATTTTGCTATGGAGAGAAACAACTAGACTTTTTCCTGTTCAGGAAAATTTTACATATACTTTCTTAGATGTACATGTTCGGATTTATAACTGTCTTTCTCCACATATTAGGTGGTTCTGATATCTGCAACCCTTCCACATGAAATATTAGAGATTACTAGCAAGTTTATGACAGATCCTGTGAGAATACTTGTCAAACGTGATGAATTAACTCTTGAGGTAAATAATTATCTTATTTCATCATTGTTTGCTGTGTTGAATTTGTACATTTGATTTCATGTCCTTGATTTTCTCAGGGTATCAAGCAATTCTTTGTAGCTGTTGAGAGAGAAGAATGGAAGTTTGATACTTTGTGTGATCTCTATGATACACTGACAATAACGCAAGCTGTTATTTTCTGCAACACAAAGAGAAAGGTGATCATATTTACAAACTTTAGTTGCATCCTTGAAGGCTGTTTTATTTCACTTTTTTTATTTGGAGATAAAATAGCTGTTATTTTTGAAACATTTTATTAATTTATTGTATGCGAGCTCAACTTTATTAACCATTTTACTTTTTGCATTTGTTTTTGATGCTAGCTGATTTTTGGTGTTTTTTATGAATTGAAAGAATTCAATAGTTGAGTGATGTTTTATTTTGCATGGCCTTCTTAGACTTGATTTGAGTCATGTTGTATGATCTTTATCCTGAAACTTAAAATTTTCATCTTAACTTTTCGATCCCCTTCTCGATCAACTTCTTCTTTTAGATATGAAAGAATTGTAGAGGAAGAATTTGAGAGAGCAGGGAGATGGAATTTGGTCACAAGTAGACCAAGAATTGAGCATTCGGAGACAACATGAAAACCTTAAAATTCTGCTAATTGGATTATCGGAAGTCATGTAATGCAGACTTGAGAAGAGAGGAATCGGAAATTTTATGTTTTCGAAGTGTGGATGGTGAGAGAGTTAGGAGAGACGAAAGGTTGAAGGAATCAAGCAGAAGTTTGAGGGCCATTGAAGTTCAATTATCGAAATCAAAATAACATCATCTTTAACTCTGTTTTTAGAATAATGTTTACAATGTAAAACTCAAAAATAAATTCTATCATCTAAAACTCAAATAAAGTCTTAAATTTGTGCTTCGGTCCACATGCCGTATTAACAAGTGTGATGAAATTACACTTCTCTCTTCTAGAATTGAAAGTTGGGGAAGCACTTTGAGAAAGTTGCTTGATTTTCTTTTAGGGAAGTGGCACTTGCTACTTCGTATATTTTTGGTTCTGAATAAACGATAAGTATCTTGTAATACTAGTTTAAGTTATTGAAAATATGTGTTTGTACGGTTGTCATGTTAGTTTATTGCAAGGAGGTGAGGGTATGGCATCTGATAAAGTGGGACTTCACTTTCTAACCAAAAACCTGACCACATCCTACTCTTGCATGCATCCAAGCAAGCGGTTAGATGGAGTGGAACCACTAAATCCAACTGTCAGGAGGAAAGATAATCTATAGTTTAAGAGACTTTTGAAAGAAGCAGAATATTTTGAACCAGTGAAGTATATGCTTCTCTAGAGAAAGCATTTCTAAATTGGCAATTCAATAATCAGTTGAGATATTGATGCGGACATCGGCACGAAGATTTGGCGCATCTATCACAGGAGGCGTCGTAAATCGACGGCTCTAATTTAAATTGTCATTTATGAGTTATTTTATGAATTTTAGCTTTTATTTTATGTTATTTCCTGTTTTACCCCTAGGTTAGTTTATTTGAGTGTTGTGGCCCAAGGGGCAATTTTGTAATTTTGATTTTTTTTTCATGTTGTGGCATATATATAGGGCCTTAAGTTATTGTAAAAGGGATGAAGAATTGATTTAAAAAAATTTTGTGTCCACACTTTTGTTCTTTGTGAGAGAGCGTTAGTGAGATTCCTCTATGGAGAGGAATCAGAGTCTTCACCAGCCGCAGGATGGGTCCGGGCTCGTGAATTGAAGTCCCTTGGAGAAGGGCAAAGCATCACCCGTCAGTCATCGGAAGAGTTCGAGGCTCGCGGTTTTTATCGTCTATCTTTTATTTTCTCTCTTTTGATTTTATCTCTTGCTTTTTGTTCCTCCTTATTGTTCTAGTCGTCTTCATCCTCCACCCTCCTCCACCCTCGCCACCGGATCTCACCCCATCCGACCCCCATCCTTCCTCTCCAAGCCCACGGCCAACTCCCTCACCCGCCGGCCACCTCCCCCATCCAACCCGTGAATCTCCCCTTCCCACTTACCCCCCTTTCCTAATTTGGGTTGGCAAAATCGAGAGGGAAAATCCATGACAATTTTGGTTTTCAAATTTCAAATTTAAAATCTTTCCTAATTGGGGTTGATCCATTTTTGGAAGGTTTTAACTCTCCAATTCAAAATTCAAATTTGAATTGCAAGGAGATGAGTCATTAATCCCTCCAAATTAAATTAGACCCATCCAACCTCCACCGTCTCCACATGACATTCATTCCTTCCTAAATTAGATTGCATAAATTTGGTAACTATTATTTGAATTAATTCAAATCAATTTGAATTTCAAATAGTTACTATATTTATATGTCTTATTTTAGGAAACCTTTTGAATTAATTCTTATTTGAATTTTAAATCAAGAGATGATCAAATATTTCTTTCCTTTCTTGACTTATTAATTAAGTAAGTATTAATGGACCCATTAATTTCCCCCCAGCACATATATGCCGTCAGCCCCTCCAATAAATCATAGAAATTTATTTCCAAATCCATATTCCCCACTTAGGAAGTACTCAATATCCCCTCATCTAAATCTGGTCGAAATTTCCTCTGGTCCGTTTCCTGACTCCTCCACCCATATATCTAATTAATTCCTAGTTCACCTCTTCAATCCCGTAACTCTCATCTAGCTGAAATTGTGTTTTATTTGATTTATTCCAAAAGGGAAACCCCTTGTTTGAAAACAAACCCCATCAGTTACTCCTCTCCAAAGCAGCCGCTCCTTCCTTTTTCTTCCCCACATGTCTCAGCCAATAACTTTCTCTGTTGGCCGAATTTCTCTCCAGCCCTTAGCTTGATTTTTCTTCCCAAGCTCCATCCCCATTATCAGCAAACCTGAAACTCATTTCAGGTTTGATTAGGACTTGGAATTTTGGATAAGAAATACAATCCCGAGCAAATCCTCCTACCCGTTCTACATCAGATATTGAATAAACAAATATAAATGTAAGTTTGCTGTTTGTTTGTAATGGTAGTGTTCTTGATATATTTTATTTATTCCATGAAACGGTAGAGATTTACAGTAGTCCGAATGGCAAAATTGAAATATAGACCAACTTTGGATGTACACTTCGCAGTTGTATGGCTAAGAATTTGTAATGGACTAGGAACAGAATAAAACTTTGTACTATGTGTCTATGAATCTTACAATGGAAAGATTTAGGATGGTTGATGCGGAACTGATGGAAAATGCTTTATGGGTTTTATTAGATGGAGTCCTTAACAAGCAAATTAAAGGTCGTTAAAAATTGAAATAATGATTTTTAGATGGATGTTTGATGATTGCCCGGGTTGCTTGAGTTTGTGAAACATGCAATGAACACAATAGAAATAGATAATGATGCTATGAACATTTAGAGTTACAAATTCAGCATTATTAAATTCTCTGATTGTTGAGTTATTGTGCAAGGAAAGTGGTAAAAAGCCTAACTAAATTGGTCAGAAGACGTTGAAAAAAGATTCACCCGAGCTTGACTTGATAGAGAATTGGTTATAAATTGGAATTAGTGGCAACAACTTCGTCTTTTAGACTCAAATGCTTAGTATGTAGATGTTGCTCTGGTCTTGATATTGCCTGTCCATATATACAGGTCATTGGACTGAGGCCAGGGTTTTACTCGTCTCATTGATCATAAATTGTCTGTTGTTTATTGAAAGAAATATTCATAACATCAAAAAAAAAAAAATCCTCTCGGTAATATCAAACAATTTGCAATTTGTAGCTTTGGAAACCTTAACGGTCATAACTTGCTATTCCTGCAGGTTGATTGGCTGACTGAAAAAATGCGTAGTAATAACTTCACAGTGTCTTCAATGCATGGTGATATGCCTCAGAAAGAAAGAGATGCCATTATGTCTGAGTTCAGGTCTGGCGCAACACGTGTGCTAATCACAACCGATGTTTGGGCTCGTGGCATTGATGTTCAGCAGGTAAGCACATAGTCATATATTCTTACTTATTATTAAGGCTTCGTTTGGGACGTCTTTTTTATTGCTTCTTAAAATAAATTTTTAGTATAAAAAAAAACTGTTTTAAAAAGCAGCAAAAAAGTTGTCTTAAACGAAGCTTAAGTAGTTGCAGTATTGTTCTTCTGCTGTCGTGCTTAATAATTCTCCTTCAATTTGGGCTTTAAGAGCATTTAAAAAAGAAGATTCTTAATATTCTTACTGCTACTATTGCCATCGGCTGTATGATAGATGCTGTATACTGAAGAGCCATTTAAACATTATTTATGAAACAGCATTAAAGGATTTTCTTGCTGTTAAGTCACCAAGATATCAATTTATATATAAGTTTTCTTATACTTTTTACCATTTTACTTGTAAATCTTTTTAAGTGCTATATTTCTAAAGCATATATATAAAGGCTTTTGGAGAACTGTAAATTTTTTCCATGAAATATGAAGATAAAAGAAGTATAGTAGATTAGGAAAATGTACTTATTTATGAATTAATCTTATTATTTTTTTTATAAAAATAGCTTATAAATATGTTAGAAGATATTTCAAAATAGAATCAAATATCAAATATGTAAGGAGAGTTAATATATGACAAGAAGTTCCGCATTGGCAGTCTAGAGAAGTTAAATATTATTATTCATCATTTATTGGTCTTTCTAAAGTTATTTTCCTTATAGCCCGTTTTGATTATTCTTATATATTATCATTTCTAGGTTTCTCTGGTGATAAATTATGATCTTCCAAACAATCGCGAGCTTTACATACATCGCATTGGGCGTTCAGGACGTTTTGGCCGCAAGGTATGTTTTCCTTTTCCTATAGTTTTGTGGTATTCCTCTGCACCACCTGGGGATTTCAATCTGTTTTATTGAAAGACTTAGGCTTATTTTGGGACGGCTTTTTTTATTGCTTTTTAAAAGAATTTTTTAGTACCAAAATTTCTTTTTCAAAAAATTTTCATACTTAAAAGATGTTTTACAAAGCGATAAGAAAACTGTCCCAAATGAAATCTTATTTGGTTGCTTGAAGATCTAAACTAATTTAAGAAATGATTATTTTTTATGAAAATGAATTTTGATCAGGATATCATGAATAATATTCATTTAATCATGATGAGTTTATAGTTATTGGATATATTTTGAAGATAAGTGATATACATGAATAATCAATTAAATTTTATATTATAATAATAAAAAAATTTAGTAATTTTGAAACTCATTATTTTAATCAATTACCTTTCTTGCCTATATGTTAAGAAAGGTAGAGGTAGATCTAAAAAGACTTGATTATAAAATATTAGAAATAAATTTTCTTTATTATATTTAAATGAGAATTTGATTTTTAACAGGATACAATGGAGAAAAAGGATTTATGTAGCCAATGCCACGTAGTGGTATAAAGGCTTGATATATTGTTGTTGATGTCGTCGTCATTCTGACAGATTGTGTGAGAATCAAATTCTTCGCCAGCTTTAGAGATGTTTGTAGAATTAAAAATGCATACAGATTATAGTAAATTCGTCATGTTTCTGATCATAATTTCACTTAAAGCAACCAAATGAGTCCTAAAGAAGATCAAACCATTATTTCTTACCCTGAAGAATGCTTTGTGCAATCTGGGACTTGATGAAAACATTTCCTTTTGCAGGGCGTTGCGATAAACTTCGTGCGCAAGGATGACATAAAGATACTACGAGACATCGAACAATATTACAGTACTCAAATTGATGAAATGCCTATGAATGTTGCTGATCTTATTTAAACCACAGAGTATGATACTGGAGTTGAGATCTATATTGGAACTGGAAGAAACACATTTGTGTTGCAATTGACGCTTGAGTTTTGCATCAAAGCTGCCTTTTAAATATAAATGAGTGCTGTTGCGTTTGGTAAAGCGTTCAGTTTTTCGCTTAGTTTTTAGTAATTATGAATCTATATCTATATCAATGAAGCTATTGAGTGAACATATAAATATTTATGTCTACTGTTACATGTTGTAAAAAGCTGAATGTGTAGTTGGGGAGATTATTCTGTGTTGTCGTCGGACACTGTTGGAGATGAATCAAGATCCGTCACGTCACTTTTTTGTTGTGCACTGGTGTTGTGTATCAATTGACGTGGTGCGTTCTGATTTATCTTCGGACTGTCCGATGAACACATAAAATAATTTCTCGTAGTTTGGATTGTTTGGTTATGTTTTTCTTGTTTTTATTTCTAAAGTGTTGACTTGAATATGAATTAGTCAGTTTATTAATGAGATAATATTTGTTCAAATATGGTATGTATTACTTGGTTGAACAAAGCTTAGATTGATGCTTTGATAGTTTAATGTGTTAGGCAACATGGAATTTCTGATGATGATTGGGGTTTTTCAAAGCATTTTTTTATTTTATTAAATAATTAATTTTGATATCATATTAATATTTATCTCCCATCTCTGATCATTGTTCAACCCTCTCATCTTCCACTACATCCATTTTCATCATCTTTGAATGTATTATTGTTAGTAGTTAATTACTATTGATTATATATAATTATTATAACTAAAGTCAGAATTTAATAGATTATCCAAAAACACAACAAAAGGAAGATCATGTAGATCTCAGTGATCTTAGCCAAACCTCGCTCAAAATGCAAGGGAATAAGGCATTCCTCAACCATCGTCGCCTTCTTGCCAGCCATCGTCGCCTTCTCGCCACTCGGAGATGTAGGTTTCTCTTGCCAGTACTCCACTTCAATTGATTTTGGCTCTGTAAAACGAACTAGTCAGGTGGCATCAACAGTCACTGGGGAGATTGCTACCAACCAACGAACACTTCATTGAATAGTAGCCATTTCCACATTCTCTTAATGGGGTGCTGATAGCTTCCCATAGGCTTCACCCATTTGAGTCTTCATAGTACCCAAAGCTAGTCGGTACCCACCAACACGGGAGATCATTCTGTGCGAATATTGGATGGGAGAACCGTCCGGTTACGCTTGGTACCGAGATCCATACCGAGTGCGGTATCGAGTCGGTACCGAGCGAGTTACATTTTGGAATGACGTAACATATTTTTATTGGTCTCCGAACTATATTCAGACTGCACCTTATAATTTGCCCACCAACACGCCTTGGGGCAATAACTATGACAAACCAATGAAAGAACAAAAAAACCACAAGCTATTTATGTTTTTTTTTCCTCATAGTCACAATTTCTACACACTAATGGTCGCCTCTGATGATCCCAGCATCAATGGAGGTTTGATCATCCTCTCCTCAAGCCACTGGCAACTCAAGGAGGAACTTAGTGCCTCCCTTCTTTATTTTCCACGCAAGATGCCACAGGGATACTTATCCTGGGGCATCATATTTAGATATTTTGGGCTTAGATTTCACCAACAAGGAAGGCCATATCACAATTGTTTACCATAAATCTCCAACAACAATTTTGCTACCTTAAATCATTTTGTTTATTTTATTGGATTATATTCTCATGCATTTCGGAGCTCAAAGAGATAGAATCCACTGCACAACCAACGCCAAACAAAGCTGAAGTGTGTGCTCGTTCATAGAAACCCCCTCCATATTCAATCAAAATAGATCTTTAAAATATCCTTTAGGCTTTTGTTTCGAACGGTTTTCTTCCTTCTTCTTAAAACAACTTTCTAATATAAAAATTAAGTAGTAAAAAAGTCATTTCAAACGAAGCATTAATAACTTCAGTGTCAAATACTTCTCCTGAGAGCTCGAACACCTAAGCGAGATGGTGACCTTTTAATTTCAATGGCTTGGGTGAATGCATATTCCCAAGCTGCTCCACCCACAAAGAATATCATCATGTTACAATAATTGGCAAGCTGAAAAGCCCTGAGGCAAAAACAACAAATAATAATATAAAAACTACATTAAAATCAAAAAAGTCGTTGATTTTTTTATTAAAATTTTAATAAGAGAAAACAAGATACAGATAATCTACAATTCAAGAGGTAGACTGACTATCCCAATAAAACTAGAAGCTGCTAGGAAGCTCTCAAAGAAAAGAACTACAACAAACACCCAAAAAATTCATCAATAATATGTTCTAAATCCTAAACAACACCCCCTTAAAAAATCCTAACCACCATAACACAAACAAATAGAATATTCCTAAACAATTAAACATAATTCAAGAAATCTTCCTAATAATTAAATACTTTCTAAATAGCATAAACATAATTTAGAAAACTTTCCTAAACAATTAAACATAGTTTAGGAAACATTCCTAAACAATTAAATATAACTTAAAAAAACATTTCTAAACAATTAAATACATCCTAAAAAGCATAAATATAATTCAGGAAACCTACCTACTAAATCAATTAAATATAATTTAGACAAACTTCCTAGACAATATAAACATAATTAGGAAACATTCTTAAACAATTCCACCTTAATTAAAAACCTTCCTAAACAGCTCCCGTTGATTAGGAACCTTCTAAATATTTTCTCCTGGGCCCATAAGGTGGTCCACCTAGCGTATCAATACTCCCCTCCCAAAGAGACACATTGTCCTCAAGATGTAAGGTAGGGAACTGTCTCATGATCATTTATTTTAATAACAAAATCTGCTTTCTGTCGAGAACCACTTAGCACATAATCCAGTTCTATATCCTTCATTATCTGCTCGTGCTTCACTCTAGAGAATATATCATCTTTCAACAATTTAACATATTTGCTAATGTATTCACTTTTTATCCACTTGCTCCAATCATCAACTATTTTTTTTCGCTCAAAACCAAAAAAACGTTAAAAAGAAATGATGCAAAAACCCATGTGACAACAAGGAATTACATGGATGCAGTGAGAAACATAAATATGGTTGAATAAGTAGTTGCAAATCCATAGATCTGATAAATAATTAACGACAACATAAGTTTCAAACCTTTTGTAAAATTACTTATATAGTACATCTTATAGCTCTCTGCAAACTTTACATATCACCCAATGAATCATCGTCCAGTAGCTCTATATTTTGCTCCGTCATGTAGGATTGTCCATCCAAAATAACGGGATTTTGTTCCAAGCAAGAATGTAAAGAACACCAAGTATAATTGAAGTTGCATGATAATTATGTCGCCCAATGCATTTCTGAATCTCCTTCTTAGCCTAATCTCCATAACTATGGGTAAGGCCTTCAATAGCCCAAACTGGATGGCAGATTCAGATGCATGGCAGCCTTCAGAGGATTATTTCCTCTCATCAGAACCTGCTTCATAATGGCAGACTCAAGCCCACTTAATGACAGGTAAGGCTTGCCATAGAGGAAAAGGTGGACTATGATAACAACCATCATTGAGCTGACATTGAACCCTATAGTCGTGAAGTAGTAAGAAAGCATGCGGAAGAAATCAAATAGGTCCCCAAGTGATAGATATCTCTACTAAGTATTTGTTCTCCATTTCTACATACAACCTTTGCTTCAAATAAGGAAATTTGGTTGAGTCCAACATCACGACCCTTCCCAATCTTAATATACTCATGGTGGGTGATATTTCCATGCCTTAATGTCGAGTTGAATCCTATAAAGATATCCTCACTTAGGTTGATTCCACGAGAAGCCTTATGTCACCTCCAATGATGTGAAAAATCCTTTCAAATACATCTACATGCATGTATTGGAGGTAGACCTTCAATGGAATATCCATAACCATTTGTCCAATCGTCACAAAACTTGTTTCATGGTTTGATATGAGCCATCCCAAAAATAAAACAATTCCTGTAAAAATATGCCAACGTACACCAAGAATGGTTGGTGGGCGCAATCCATGGTCTTCATTGAATTCCTCCAAAAGATCCCTCATTTTCAAACTCTTCCAAATAGTTATGCTGGTCCATATCAATTGTCTGAAGAGCCTCCCCTCTGGTCAAGACAATTGCATGATTTTGATTTTCTGGCTCACCTTCACCAATCTTTGCTGCTCCAGGCAATTCGAATATTTGATGCAGTAGATTTCCTGGTCAGCACCAACAGCTTGGCTTTGCAAATATATTTCTTTGCCCTCTTCATTCACTTCTTTCCCTTTGTCGATCTGTTTATCCTAAGAAGAAGCTTGTGTATCACTTAGTGAACTCTCACTCTTCTTCTCCTCAATTATTCGCATCATTAACTTCTTCACCCTAAGATCTCCACCACCCCAACAACTTCCTCCTCCTCCAATGTAGCAGTTGTCGTGATCCCTCCATGTTTTCCCCGTGTATCGAGGGTGGGACTCCCACCTTTCTTCCATCTACTTCACATGACCCGATCCTCATGGCTCGGCCCGTCCTCCTCCAATCGTCCACTCTTATTGCTCAAAAAGCCCCTCATAGTGGTCAACCACTCCACCACCTCCACAATAAAGCTTCATTCATGTTGTCCCCCCAACTGAAAACCCTATTTCCCCCCTTCTCGGAGCCCTAGCAGATGTCCCTTGATGAAAGAAGCTCTTTCTCTTTAAATTCGACCAAAAGATTTCCAATCAAATCTTAATTAAAGTTAGCAATTGGAATCATCGATGGGGTTTTGGATCGCATCTCCATGAGTTTTCTCATCATCTCCTCCAAAAATTTCTTTCCCTTTGGTTCAGCCCTAGGAATCGTCGATGAAGTTTTCAACTCAATCATTTTTTCATCATATCTTCTAAATTCTCAAACCTTCCCTCTATCGTTGAAATACGTTCATTCATCGATCACACATCTGCTTGTAGTTGCCCTACTTCCCTTTCCAACTTTTCCTCCAATGCCTCAACTCTTCTTCCGGCCATTGGTACTCTGATCAAGGCTTTAACAACAAAAAGTGGCAACTTTGACGTGAATCTGACCTCTAAACAACAAAATTCAGAAAACTGAGAGGAAAAACTCAGCAGAAATCAATGAGGAAAGGTTGATATTTTGATTAAGGACACCGCTCTGATACCGATTTGATACGCCTTAAAAGTAAAAACAACAAACAACAACATAAAAATTACAGTAAAACCAAAATGGTGGCTTATTTTTTTTATAAAAGTTTCAATAAAAGAAAACAAGATACATGTGATCTACAATTCAAGAGATTGATCGGCTCTCCCAATCAACCTATATGATGTTAGGAACCCTAAAAAAAAGAACTACAACAAACACCCACAAAACTCATCAATGGCAAGATCTAAACCCTAGATAACTTCCCCCTTAAATAGCTCTAGCCACCATAACACAAATAAAACCATCCTAAACAATTAAACATAATTTAGGAAACCATCCTAAACAATTAAACATAATTCAAGAAACCTTCCTAAA